AGAGCTGACGTGTCAGAGCAGACGTGTCAGAGCTGACGTGTCAGAGCTGACATGTCAGAGCTGACCAGTGAAGTGTTCACCTGAACCGTAAAGCTTCTCAGCTAAGAACCCACAGAGACCGTGTTGTTCCTCTAACAGGTCTCAGTCCTGATCGGACCTGCCTGGAGCACAGTGGGTCTACAAATTAATAAGAGGTTGGTCATATGTTAGGGATGATTAGTTTATGTTTCTAAAAACAAAATATAATTTTCACCATGTCATACTTACTGTGCAAAAATGCATTCCAAGCATTTTTCATTTGGATGCAAACTAAAATGTGGAACTTGTCATGGCTTGCAATGAGTAATATAATATAAAATAAATAAATATATATATATAAATAAATATACAAATATAATTTGTCACAGGCCTGGAGCATACAGTCATGAGAAAGTCTTCATTCTTATCCAGCCCTTGGACTTTACGTATTAGGACATAATATTCAGATCTTTATCAGTTTCTAAACTGATTCGTATTAACCTCGAGTGCTCAAAAATCCTCAGCAGATTCCACCATTTTTTACTGAACACCAAACGTTGAAGCTGCGTGTAAAAGTCAGAGTCCAGCCCTGATCCAGCAGCTTGTAGAACCTTCTTCAGGAGCAGTAACCATCAGAAGTGGTTTTCTGTGGGGCTTTATGAAGCCCTCACGCGGCTGTGGAGGATATTTGTCCCATTCTTCTTCCAATCGTTGCTTCAGTTCGTTGAGATTTGCAGACATTTGTTTCTGCTGAAGGTCCCAGCGTCAGGTTGAGGTCTGAACTTTAACTGGACCTTTGCAACACAGAACTTTATTCTTCTGTAGGTTTGCTGAAGTGTTTGCAAACTTTAAATGAGAAACGTTTCATCCCCATCCAGATGACTTCATCAGTCTGCGCCCATCCAACCAGATCTGTCCCATAGTTAGTCTTCATTGCTGTTTCAAGCCAACCTCCTGATGGAATCTCAGAAGTCGACTTTTAACACAAGCAGAACACACCCATCCAAACAACCAGTCATCACGTACAACAGTCAAATGTTTTGGGCCAGATGGACAACTTGCTACTCACAGAAACAGTCTGAGGACACCAAGGACAAAATGGTTCAGAAAAAGGGTTGTAAGCTCAATCATCCAGGTAGATAACAACAAAAAAAGGTTAAATCATTTCATCTGGACCAGTTTCTTTAAGTGAGAAACACAGCAGTGAAGGCTACCTATGGGACAGATCTAGTTGCCATAGACTGAAGAAGTCCTCTGGATGAAGGACAAAACGTTTCTCACGTAAAGAAACTGGTCCAGATGACACGGTTTAACCTTTTTGTTGGTCAGTTGTCTCAAAACTGTAATTTATGGAAGTTGAAATTAAAAATTGAGTTAATTAATTGTGTATTGTATGAAAAACACTCCATGTTTAAAAGTATAAAATTGTATTAACACTATTAAAGAACAGGTCTTAAATATTTATGTTACACAAATATTTCAGTTGCATGAAAGAGACAAAATGAAGGAAATAACTTAATAAACACGAGGGTTATGAGGGGGTAGGGGTCCCTGAACCCAAAACGTTTGAGAACCCCTGATCTAAAGGACGTTGTTTCAGCTATTTTGCGGTTCATTCAATTTAAACTTTAAGTTGTAATCCTTCCAAAGAGGCCATACTTGTTCAGGCCGGTCCGAAACCATTTAAATCCAGTAAAAAAGTATCAAGGATGGACTTAGTTTTTCACTCACAGATGATATATTTAGTGTTATTTACTGACTTGAATCTGTTGTGTATTTTTGTTTACTTGAGGTTGGATATAAAGAAAATATTTTCTTCATTGTGTCCAGATCCATAAAACCCTGGACTTAAAGAGCGGACGGTCTTTCTCCATGACTGTATGTTTCCGAAGCCATAACCAGCTGAGGAACAGACAAAGCGTCAGAGTTACAGACAGGCTATCCCTTAACGTTTGCTCAAGAGCCCCTTTACCATTTGACAGACAGCAGAGAGGCAACAGATGACAGGCTGAGGAGACGATGGTGAGAAGCAGCAGCTAAAGAAAAGTCACAGGAGATGGAGCGATAGCACCAGAGAGAAGGGGAGAATGCAGCCTTTGCATCGTTCATTGCAGACGTTTATTTGCTTGGCAAGTGGAGAGAGTAGGAGTGTGTGTTTGTGTGTGCTCAGCGACAGTGAGTCGATGCTGTTAGATACAGAAAACTGTTTGTGGTGTAGGAAGCAGAGCCCTCTGGTTAGCGATATTAAGCAGCCGAGGACACCGGCGGGAAAGAAGGCCGTTTCCTTGTGAAACTCTTGGATCGGTGGCTGTACGGTCTGACGCTCACCTCATCACCTAGCCTACACAGAGCATCTAGACCGTCAGAAGATGATGGAATCACCATGAGCTGCTGACAAAAACTACCAACTGAAACAGGACGTCGTCGTCGTCGTTTAAATCTGCATTAATCTTCACAAGTGCATCATGGGCTGAGTTCCATTATCTTCTGGGTGTGCTAGAAACCAACAGAAATGTACCTGAGGTGTGGACTGCTCACAGACGGTCCAGGCTGTGACAGACTACATTTGCCCCGTTGCTGTTTGCAATGAACAGGTGGGGGGGAGGGAGGGGTGAAAGAAAGAAAGTATGTTTCAGTCCAGGCAAATCAACACAAAGCTACTGATGAGAAGACAACCCAAAAATGAGAGAAGAGCAGCAAAAACAAACAAAATCACATGTGAAGGTGACTGATTTTTAACAAAAGGGAATCTGGCGTTTCAAAGTGTAAATATGAGGCGTTCAATGACACAACTGCAGATGGAAAGCTACAAATCAGGCATGGATTCAACTGGTAACAACGACATGCTAACTGAGACTGATCGGATCAATTCTAACATAATTCTGCAATCTCACTGTTGTTGTTGATAACATAAAACTAATATAGCATGGTGGTTAACAATCATAAAATGTTTTTTGATAGGTGTACCAGTTCCATTACAGCCAGAATTCCCAACAACAATATTATAGAAGAAGGGGGAGAAATCAGAGGAAAGTCTCAATTAGGAAAAAAGTTTGTTTCATAAATTAGAGGAGCAGGAAGAGAAGTCTAAGAACAGGATGGAAAACAAACCAAAAAATAAAAAAATAAAATCCCAGTTCATCTGGGAATAAACGACATGCAAGAAGGTGGGAGAACGGTTCAGAGACCAGCTGGGGTAATGTCTATGGGAAGGTGTGGGACAGTTTAAAATGATCAGAATGTAGGGCGTGGTTCTGGAGGTCAACGGGGCTTTCGGGGCAGGTGTTACTGCACAAAGCTTAGAGCGGTTAACAAACTCCTGACTCTCACGAGCAGAATCAAACATTACCGATCGCTGGCGACTCGGCGTACTCCTTCCTGATACCGGACTGAGAGAACCAGACGTGTCCAGCTCATCAGCTGACGACCAGGAAGACAGATCCTGAAGACAAAAACATTCACTCAAACATGGCCGCCACCTGGTGGTGAGTTGGATCAGGCGCAGGAGAAGATGCCAGACGGACCGATCGAACCAAAAATGTACTGAAGATTTGCAGGAATGCTTAGTGCTACGTCTCTTTAGCATAAAGAAATTAACTAAATGCATAAAAAATTATAAAATATAAAAATACGACAGGTATAAGCATATTGACCACTGCCTTTGATGCAACAGTTTTAGACCAAGTCTTTGTTATTGATGAGAAATTATAAAGTTGTAACGGTTTTAGTAAAATGTTGGAAACGATGCCACGCTGTGTTAAGCTACTACCACAACAAATCTGAGCTCATTAGCTGAACAATTAACAGAGTTAGTTTTTGTGTTGGCTAATGTTGGTTAGTTGTGGTGGCCATTTTAAACTGGACTGATTCTAAAAGTTATGCAGCTGAAGATGCACTTCTAGTGATTATTTTCTGAAAGTTCAATCCATCCGGTGGTTCGTGAGAAGTTTGATAACAGACAGTTGACTGCAAACAGTTAGAGCAACATTTTAAACAAAGGTCTTGTGCATTCTGTCACTTTTGTAAATTTGTTTCAGCTACGTCTGCACCAAAGCTCAATATCTGCAAATGTGACAGAGCTGTAGCCATTTTTGTGTTTTGTAGGGTCAGTCATCTGTGGCAGCCATCTTGATTTGGGTTGACTCCAAAAGGTAATCAGTTGCAGATGAACATCTATTAGATACATGATTTTTGATAATTTTATTCAACTTCAATCAGGACTGTACAGGTGAACAGTGGGGGGACATGGAAGGGTAAAGACTCCACCTGTTGACTGCTCGTGATGTCCAGAACTTTAGCCAGCTCCCGGAGGTCTCGGGTCACTTCTTTTAGCAGCAGTTTGAGGCGGTTCCCGATGACGTGAACCTTCTCTTTGGCCTCCAGGCAGTCACTGCCCTGAGAGTTGACGAGCAGCTGGAGGGACATGTCCTGTAGTGAGGCCACTTTAAGCTGAGAGTCCAACAACTCCTGCCGGATTTGCTGTAAAAATAAATAAACAAAAGAACAAAACCTTCTTGTATTATTCTCTTACAGTATCCACTGTTATATAAATCTTTAAGACAAAGACTGATTTGTTTTAACAATAAGAACGTGACTAATTGGATACCGTCAGAGTCTTATGATGCTCATGGAGAGTAACAGTGTCTTGGATTGGATCGATGGGAACCACCTCGTTCCTTCTACGGTCAATGTTTTCCAACCAGAGCAGCAGACCGTGACTCATTTCATGAAACTCCTGCTCAACAGGAAAATTAAAATTCAGCTCTCATTTATATATACCTGTATATATATATTATTTTTTTCCCACAATGTAACGATAAAGACACTCACTTGGCACTGCATGAGAGCTTCCTGTAATGAAGACCTCCACTTCTCCAAAGAGCTGCCCAGCTTGTCCCAGAGGTTATTCATGTCTTTCAGTCTGGCCTGCAGCTGCCGGGTGTCTTCTCCGCCTGACTGCAGAAAATCAGTACTGCACAAGTTGATGGAAAGCGCAATGGCTTTGCGCTTGTCGTATGCTTTCTGCAATTCCTGTAAACAGTCAAAATAAATAAATAAATGAACAAGAGTTCATGAAATCTGACTAGACAAACAAAGGGAGAAGCAATGCAAAGCTGATGTGTGTGAAGCAGTAAAGCTGTAATTTGAGAATCAAATATCTGACAGTTTAATGCATACTTTAAAGTTAATATTACCCGGTAACTATTAACATTAATATTAACTAATATAATAGAAAAAACAAAACAAATGCCAAATGCTAGTTTTGTAATTTTTTAATTAGACAACAAGTCTTTCAGAATCAGAGTCAGAAAAACAAACTCTAGCCGGCAGGATGAAAAAGGCCAAATCAAAGCAGGATTTGCCAACAGATGATTTAAATAACAAGAGGCAGTGGACGCCCCCCATCGCCGAGAGATTTTAATAAAGAACGTTTGTAGTTTTTGAGATGTGTGCTTTTCTGGACTGGAATTAAAATGGAAATGCAAATAAACACTAATGTTTTTGGTTCAAGATCTTAAAGTGGATAGGAGTTGCACTGTGTAGAAGAACAGAGGTAGTTTATTTTTCTTGTCTGAGGCAGCGCAGAGTGACGGATCCTGGAGAGGAGTTAGAGATTTGATTTCTCCAGTCGACATGTCGAAGTATCTTTGGGCAAGACGCTGAACATTTCACTGCCTTCGATGTGTGTCCCATCGGCGTACGAATGTGATTTAAAGCTCTGTATAAACTGATTTATTTAGATTATCTTTGTAGAGATGTAGTAGAGAGCTGTACGAACGTGTGTGTGGAGGTAAATGAGGCACAGATTGTGTTGTAAAGAGCTTTGAGTATCTTGATTAGATAGAAAGGAGCTGTTTAAGTACAGTCCATTTACTGAGTGTTTCAGAATCTGCTGATCTGCTGGGATTTTCACACACAACCCACTATAGTGTTTGCAAAGAATAGTTAAAAAAGGTTTGCAGAATACCATCTCCGAACTTTACTGTAATGTATACAACAATATTACCTTAAGTTTCTTAATGCGAAGCTCAATGGTCTGGATGTCCGTGCTGACGTCCAGGCTCTGCTGCTGCCCCAGATCTTCCTCTGTCTCTCCTAACCAAGTCCAGATGTTGTTCAGGTCAGAGTTCAGCTGCTGCCACTGCTGCTCGCTCTCCTTTGTGCGTATCTCTTTACTGAGGTCCTGAGCCTGCAGGAGCTCCCAGCGCTCGATCACACCTGGAAGGCAAGAAGTTAAACAGAATTCAATTATATCTAAGCTTACCCTTTCCTTTAACCAGTGACAAGCCAAGGATATACTTTTTTTGGTGTTACATAGCTTGTGTGAGCAAGGTTTGCAAACTTCACTAAATTGTTATAACCTATTCTAAGGAAGCCCCAAAATCCAACTATGAACCAGAAATAAACGTTTTGTGGGCTTTTATTTAAATATCTAGTACTGGTTAATGAATCAGTGCAGGACAGCCTTTGATGTACTGTTACCTGACGTCTGGGACTCTGAGCTGCTAGGATCGGCCAGTCCTGATACAGTATCCTCTTCCTCCTTCAGCTCAGAGCCCACCCTCTTGACTGTGTCGATGCTGCCGCGGCACTCACCCAGCAATCGCAACTACGGAAGAAAAAACAAATGTAAATTGGGTTGGGTACGCAGTTGTTATAACATTAACTATTTGTTATATATTACCATTATAACCATTATCAATCAACCTTTATTTATACAGGTAAATCCCATTGAGCCTCGAAGACGCATTTACAAGAGAGACCTGAAATATACTAATGGTTTTCACATGACATCCATATAGGATCTCAGTAGTTCTCTTTACCCATTGATTTTCAGGTAACCAGTGTTATATGACATTTTTCATCTCAGTGTGTGATTTCCATGCAGTATTGAATGCAATACATAATCACAAAGAGTTGAACAGTTTTTCATTTGGCTGGTGCCCTTGCTTCCTGGTTGAAGTGGCAGACGCTAGTTTGAGGAGTCTAGTTCTGAGGAGACATTTTTCCTGTATATGACAGCAACAAGTTTTTTTCAGCTCCTCAGGAGCAATTGGCAAGAATCAGATGAAATGAATGAGTGATCGCATTTTGTTTTAAGTAAGATCATAGGTTTTAGCTGATAGATATGAGAATCTGCAGAGGTGGTCTCTCCTGTTAGCACAACATCAAACAATCATGTCGGGAGAGCAGAATGAAATATTCAAAACAGAATGCTTGACTGAACTAGAGTTACAATCCAAGAGAAGTTGGACCTGTAAAATGTACACATTTTATGCAATTTTTTACAGTGTAGTGCACAATATAAACTCATGTATAAAGTTAATTTAATCTCAAGTGTGTTCATGCATCACTAAGCATATCAGAAACTTTGATGATAGTTGTTACTTTGAGGAATTTCCTCAAACAGGGAGGATTGAAGTAGAAAAGTTGTTTGTTCAGAAGGCTCCACAAGGATGCAGAGTGTTACCAAGTATGAGGGTGTTTTTGGGTCAAACTGACCTTATCTTACAGGAAAGGGAGTAATGTGTGTTGATATTACGAGAAGAACCAGTTGTCAGAAATCTGAGCGTACAGCCAGAGATGGGGTCTGCTTGACAACTTTGAAATAACAAGTTTATGTTTCCGTAAGCCTCTGATGCACATAGAAGGTATAAAGGCAATCAGAGCTGGTTTTTTTTGTTTGTTTGTGTGTGTGTGTGTGTGTGTGTGTGGGGGGGGGGGGTCTTTTTTGAGATTTTGTGTATCCAGCTGTTCCAATCCGCAAGCTGTTTTTTACATTAAACCCTGACTTTTGCTGTCATCACCGAAGTCAGTCATTTGTTTATTTAATCATTGCAAGTTTAAATGTAGCTGAACACTACACTGCCTAACAGGTTACACAGATTATGGTCAAAAACTGACATTAAAGACAGATTTATGTAAACAAACAGCAAAAAAAGATTGAAAAACATGGTTTCATGCTAAAACAAATTGGTGTAGACCTGCTGTAGTTATTGATCTGTAAGTAAGACCCATACATAGCCCATATATGATGCATCCACGTCCGAACTTGTGGGAGTGCGGCTGCAGCTCGTGTCCAGTTGTTGGAGGTGAGAACGACTGATGTCAAAAGGATGAACGTGAGAATCTGCAGAGGCGGTCTCTCCTGTTGGCACAACATCAAAAAATCATGTCAGGAGAGCAGAATGAAATATTGAAAACAGAATGCTTGACTGAACTAGAGTTAAAATCCCAAAGAAGCTAGAAGCTGGACCTGTTTAGACAGAGAAACACAAAACAAGGAGAGCAAAAGATGAGAGGAGGACAGGGGTGCAGATTGGTTTTGTCACTTGTGTCTTTTCCAGTTTGAGAAATCACACCGAGCCCAAGCCTGGGTCACATTCACTGCCATTTTTGTCTCAGAGGGAACACTCTATGAACAGCAATAACAAATCTGCAATCCCTTTGGTAAGAATCTACACTTGTGATAAAAAGAACATGCTTTTCACAAACAGACAAACAAAAAGAGTTCACATGAAAAGAACCCAAACATGTTAGCTGCACAGCAAACTGTGAGTCAAATAAAAGTTAGGAAGCAAGTTAGAAAAGAAGGTCTCGGCTGAATTCCATCTCTGTTCTTATTAGAGCCCAACACTGAAGCAGGAACTTATCGAGGAAATGGAATTCATCCTTTCCCTCGGTGTTAGAAAGTGTTGTTGCCGATCGCAGCGTGAAGTGCACAAGAGAAACAAACACAAATCAACCAAGCCAGTGTGGCGTCGCTGGAGTGCGCTTGTTATTTTGGTCTGCTGTTGCCTACCAGTAGAAGACCTCAGTGTTTGTTCTGTTAGTTTAACATAGGCCTCGGGGCTCTCTGGGATCACTACATCTGGAAGAAACATCGTACAGTACACACATTCAGAACGGCTTCACACGCTGAGTAAAACATGTTTTAATTGTCATGTAGACGGAGCGTGACACTACAAGAGTTAGGGGACCTTCGTGAGTTTTCAGTCTGTTCACAACTTTCTTGCATTGTTCTGCATTTTAAGCAACCTAAAGACTGTGTATCATCTTTTTCTTTACATTCTTGTCTTTTATTTTATCCAGAATTTCAAGCTCTCTTTTCATTTTCCGTCTTCATAATGTTCATGTTTAGGCCGGGTTGGGAAATAGGCCAAAACATTTTAAACAGCCTTCAGCAGTCGATGATGATTGTGACATATTTGCATGATATAATGATATATTATATATATAGTGTTTAAGCATCACTTTATTTTCTTAATGTCTTTTTAAGAGAAGGATCAGACAGTAATCGTTCTCTACAACTGTGGAGGAATGCTAGATTTGTTTATTTGTTATTATTTATTTAGATGCATCCAAAAAGAATAAACTTACTGATTTGGGATTTGTTTTTTAAAGTGAAAAGTTAATGGAAACATTTGACAAATATATTCCAGATCTGGAAAATAGAAGCACTAAGCTGTTTTATGGTGCTGACAAGACAACATGATGACTTGTTTTGTTGTCACAAAACATTTTAGTTTTTAAAGTTGAACCTTCAGGATATTGGTTGAAAATGAAAACTATTTATTTTAAAGATGAACATTGCATTACTTGGATGCAAAAACAGATCGAGGTAAGATGTCAGCAAATAACATTAAAAAGAAAAAATCAAGCGTGTCTCATGCTTTTGATTACAGCTGGACAGTGTCTCCATCAGCAGGTCATTTAACAGAGTCAATATTATAATAATATTATAATATATAGTAATATTATATCAATATGAAGGACAGGAGCTCTGCGCTGTTACTGACCTGCTGCAGGTTTCACAGATAAAAATAAATAAACATTTGTTGAAGTAGTTGGGGGTTTTAATTTTATTTGGGATATTTTTTCTTATGCAGCTGCATACGTTACAACTGACCGATTTTTCTTAGAACAAATATTTTTGTATGTTACCTGTTATGACTGTGAAAATATATTTTTGACTGTTGCTAATTTAAACCAATAAATTGTGCAGATGTTTGTTGAGCAACAAACGTACAGCAGAGCCGCTCAGTCGTTGCTCGTTTGAAGTGACCGTGTTGGATTACACACAGTCGGGGTGTATTTACAGCGTGTTCAGGTTTGGAGTTGAACTGTGCATTTATTTACAGGTCAAAACTTTTAAAATGAGAATTAAACTAGCTAAAATAAAGTGGAAATACCAAACTAAAAAACACATACAGAACAGACAATGATCTCCCAACACTATCAAAAATTGAACTTTGGTTCAATTTTATTTCATTCTATTTTGGTAACACTAAAATAACTATTGCCAGATAGGTTTATATCTTTTTATATTGTGAGTTTAAAATTTCACAAATTGTCTCTAAGAGAAACGTTGGATGTGTGTGACAACTAACCTGACAAGTCTGAGGCGGGGCGCTGGAGGAAGTCCCCCTCCTCGCTCTGCTGCTCTCGGAGGGCTCTGCTGGCGCTCTCGAGACCCCGGCTCAGGTCGTAGTCATGGTCCCACTCCAGGGGAATGGAGTCCACGCTGGCAGGTGTGTCCCTGCCGGAGCGCTCAGCGCGGAGCTGCACGGCCAGGGAGGCCGAACGACCAGAGGAGGGCAGAGGAGACAATAAACCGTCCCCCAAACGCTCATTCCACGGCAGGCTGGACAAATCTCCAGGCTCGTCCAGATCAAGCTCACGGTCAGAGAACGACACTTCAGTATCATCGTCTGCAAGCTGAAGAATATTGTTTAGTAAAACCTTCAGAGACAAGCCACATGCAACTAAAAACAAGAATAAAAACTACCGTCATTTCTAGACTATAAGCAGCTACTTTTTTCACAGGCTTTGAACACTGCGGCTAATTAATGGATTTTTTTTTTGATGGGCTAACGAGCTTCGTGCCACAAAAACATTTAACCTCGTCACACCCGGCGAGGGTGAGGTTCTGCCTCAAGTGGGTTTTGTTCACGAGTGAGGGAAGAATGGAGCGTGAGATCGACAGACGGATCGGTGCAGCATCTGCAGTATTGTGGACTCTGTGCCGGTCCGTTGTGGTGAAGAGGGAGCTGAGCTGTAAGACAAAGCTCTCTGTTTACTGGTCGGTCTACGTTCCTCCCCTCACCTCTGGTCATGAACTCTGGGTAGAGAATGAAAGAATGAGATCATGGATCCAGGAGGTTGAAATGAGTTCCCTCTGCAGGGTAGCTGGACTCTCCCTTAGAGACAGGGTGAGAAGTTCAGTTATCAGGAGAGACTCAGAGGAGAACCACTGCTCCTCCACGTCGAGAGGAGCCAGTTGAGATGGTTCGGGCATCTGGTAAGGATGCTCCCTGGGCACCTTCCTAGGGAGGTTTGTCGGTCATGTCCAACAGGGAGGAGACCCCGGAGAAGACCCAGGACACGCTGGAGAGACTACGTCTCTCTGTTGGTCTGGAAACATATTGGAGTCCTCCCAGAAGAACTGGAAGAGGTGGCTGTGGAAGGAGATGTCTGGACCGCCCTGCTCAAGATGCTGCCCCTGACTTCAGAACAAGAGGAAGATGATGGATGGATGGATGGACGGATGGATGGATAGATGGATGAATGGATGGATGGATGGATGAATGGATGGATGGATGGAGAGAGACCCGGGCGCTCACATAGCTGCCCAAGACACGTCTCTTTGGGGGTGGTTTCTCATGACTCACTGAGACTACCTGTATAAATAAAGGTTGAAAATTTAATCAGACCACTGAAGTTAGCGAACAGGTCACAGTGGACCAATGAATCGGGGGGGGGGGGGGGGGGGGAGAAGGGGGAGGGGAGGAGAGAACAGGGGGGGGAAGAGAGAACGGGGAGGGGGGGAGGACTCCCCTGCATGTGCAGAGCAACTTGTGCTCAAGTTTGCCGGCGGATCCTGACAGCGGCGCAGGAGGAAGATGAAAATAATAACCTGTGACTTCCTGGTAAGTTTTTTTTTTTTTAACCAGCCGTGTTACCGGCACTGTTCAGAAAAAAAAATAAAAAAAATTAATAATAATTACTGTACATATTTGTGTATGTTACTGGCACATATTTAATTAAAACTTTAAAAAATCTTTCTGTGTAAAAATCTCATGTTACAACGTCGATACCTGCGGCTTATTGACACACGCGGCCTATATAGCTATGTACAAAATTATTTTTTAAATACATTTAGAGGGTGCTGCTTATATTCGGTTGCGCTCAATAACCTGGAAATTACAGTAAACCTTCGTGTTTCCCTTCATCTCAGTTCTTACCGGAAGGCGGATGAGTTTTTTGTAGTAGCGCTCGACTCGACCGAACACTTCCTGACAGTAACGCTGAAGTTCCTCCAACTCTTCCTCTATAACAGCAGCATCCATGGGCTCGCTCTTCTCGATCAGTGCCTCGCCCTGGTGGAATATGTGCTCGATCTTGGCTGTCGTCAGAGAAATCTCCTGCTGGAACGACTGGGGATCGAAACATCATAGTTTTGTTTAACACAGCACTAAAGCAGATATCCACGTTATAACGTCTCTTCGGGTGTCACAAACTTACCCTGAGTTGTTTGATCTTGGCTTGAATGTCACACTCGGAGAAATGCTCGATGTTGGTAAGCTGAAGGTCCATTTCTGTCAGCCAGACTAAAATACCATCTCTGGCTGTCTCAAACTCCTCTCTCTGACTGATGAAGTGCTGCGTGGTTCAAAAAGAGAAATCACCATCAGAAATTTTAACCTCAACTCTATCAAAGTTCAGAGAGAATCATGATTTTTTGTATTAAAATTCCTTTTTGTGCACAAACAGAAAAGCTGCGCCCCCTAGACCCCCACTCTTGTGCCAATGTACATATATGTGCCTGTAAACAGAGAAAAATAACAAAGCTATATATTTTTATATTATACTCTAGTCTAGCCAGTGACTTGAGACTCCTGTAAATAAAATGTCAGATTTAAAGCAGCATTTACATTAATTTGTTTTCCTGTTTGTTATTTGCAGTTTAACTATTTCTGCTAACTTTATATTATTTTAACCATACACATATAAAAACACTGAGCTCATCAAGATGACGGGTGCTACGACTTTTGGTGTTTGTAAATAAAGGTGAATATTTTAAGCGGTTAAAAACATGCACTTCAGTTAAAAAATACAGAGAGAGAGAGAGAGAATTGTTGTTTGTCTCATTTGTCTCAATGTGTCCCTGTGATGGACTGGAGACCTGTCCAGGTGTCCCCTGCCTTTCACACAGTGACTGCTGGATATGGGCACCAGTGACCCCCCCCCCCCCCCCCACACACACACACAACATGCATGTATTTGGTGTGAGAGAGAGAAGACTCTGTCTCCTCTGAGCTTCATCTTACTCTTGGGAATGACCAGAAGCAGCTGGTCTGTGGACCTGAGTGACCGAGTGGGAGTGTAGCGGTGGAGAAGCTCTGTTAAACAAGGCGGGGCAAGACTGTTTAAAACCTTAAAAACAAACAAAATAATTTTAAAATGAATTCTACAATACACGGACAGCCAGTGGAGAGAAGCCAGGGCAGGGGTGATGTGCTCTCTCTGACGTTGATAATGTCAAAACCATCTCCCTTTGTTCACCACATGAGTCTAAACGTAGGCGAACAGTCACCATAGCTGGTTGGACACCCTCCTTCGAGACCTCGGGCAGCCCCTCTTAGTGGGTCACCATGCTGGGAACCACTGCAGTATACTGGTGGGCTCAACACCATTTTAGGAGTTCATTAGATTCTTGTAAAAGTGCAGAACAAGGAAATGAAAAGGACAGTTAAGAAAGATCTGTGAAGACCTAAATGGCAGGATGGGATGCAGTGCACACCTTGAGTCTGCGAAGGATGGATGCCACTCGTTTCTGCAGGTTGTCCCATCGCTGGTTGGCCTCGTGAGCCATCTCCCTCAGACGACAGGAAGAGTCCGTACGGTTTTCTCTGGCCAAGCGGCGGTACTGCTTGTTGATTAACTCCAGCTGCGTCAAACTTTCCTGAACTTGTCTTTGGAAGGTCTACAGAAACAAAACAAAGCATGTTTCTCAAAGGAGACAAATCCAGATTATACTTGCTTTATTCATTTGTATTTAAGATAAAAAAATAATTATATTTTGTATTTATAATTAGCCATTCATTTCAAGTTTTATTTTTATTAATCAGCTCTGTCCTACAAAGTCAAGAGAGCGTTCGTAACCTCAAATTTCTTTAATTCTTCCTTGGCTACTGTGTACAGCACACCAGAGGAGTTGGGCAGAGCGGCAGTCTTCTCTGAGGTGGACAGCCACTCCTCAAAACGTGCAAAGTCATCTAAAAATTTCTGCCATAAACGCCACGTCTCCTCGATCCTAAAAAGAACAAATAATAATACTTGTATAAGGAACAGATTAAATATTTCTATTAAACAACAAGAAAAATGTATGGCTCTGTGCTGACGTACTTCAGTCTCCTCTCCATAGACAAGGCACATATGCTCCTCCAGCGGCGGTCAAGGCTGCGCGTCGCCTGCTGGATGGAGTCGCACTCTGTGTCGGTGGCGCAGGCGTCGCAGTCGTGGAGAAGCACCTCGCACAAGTTCAGCACAGACGCTACTCCTGTACTGTGCTTCTCGATGTCCCGCTGGAGCTCCTGGAACACAGAACGAGTTTGACCTGGTCCGACAAACGTTCAGCAATCGACGAGAAAAACAGTCTGAAGACTAAAAAATACACAAAGTGAAGGAACTGAATTGAATATGTATCGCCCATAATTACATAAATAAATTGAGTTTTTAGTTCACTGTGTACTTGGCTTTGTAGCTTTGTGTTTATGCTTTATTTTATCTTGTTTTTAAACTGATGTTCAGCACTTTGTTTCAGCTGTGGCTGTGTTAAAGCGCTTTATAAATAAAGTTGTTGATGATGATGATGAAGATGATAATCAGCTGTGTTAAGTTACCATAATTTCTGGTCTATAAGCTGCTACTTTTTTCACAGGCTTTGAACCCCGCAGCTTAAAAAAACGCTGCGGTTAATTTATGGATTTTTAGACTGTTTCCCTCATACCCGTTCTCCCCTCCTCATTGTGCCCCCCCTCCATGGGGAAAGTAGTTGCAGCCAATTTAAATAAGAGTGAATCGTGCATTAATGTGGCACTCTGAGCTCGGTGGGAGGTGGATGACGGGCAGCGAGAAATCGTTAAAAAAACCTGGATGCATGTGAAGAGCAACTTTTGCTCCAGTGGATCCCGACAGGGAAGCAGTGTAGAAAAATCCTCCATCACCAATGGGTTTCAAAAGGCTGCTGCGTGATGAAGAGGACCGCACAAGCTCAAAGGTGCAGGAGGAAGATGAAGATAGCGATGAATGACTTCCTGGTTGGCTACTGCATTTTTTTAACAAGCCAGCACTGGCACTGTTCAGGAATAAATATTTCCTGTACGTATTTGTGTTCGTTAGCGGTACGTGTTTAATTAAAAGTTTAAAAAATCTTTCTGTGTAAATATCTCACGTTACAACGTGGACACTCGCAGCTTATAGACAAGCGCGGCTTATATTCAGGTGTGCTCAATAGTCCAGAAATTACGGTAATCCGCTGTATATGTCCATATTCTGTCCACTGGTTTGCACGAGCAAAAACATGTCATTATCGATCCATTTATCTTCAGTGCTGGGTTGTAATTAACTGTAGTTCAGTACGTTTATCAGAAATCCTCATATTGTGCTCTAATGTTGTTTTTTTTAAAGAATGAATACACTGAATACGTGCTCTGGTTTAGGTCTGAAGCAGCTCAATGTAAAAACACCTGAAAAGCCGAAGGACACGTAGGCTGAACTGATTAAACGAGTTTCATGATCTGCCGGAGTTATCTCTGCAGGGATCTAGTTGAACATGCCGAGTCATGCAGTGATCTAGTTGAACATGCAGAGTCATGCAGTGATCT